ATCTATCTATCTATCTATCTATCTATCTATCTATCTATCTATCTATCCTTCTGAAGACTGCTACTTAATGCTGTAATTTTGAGTACACTGAGTACTAAGCCCAGCGTTTCCCAAAGGCAGGGTCGGGACCCCATTTAGGGACGTAAGACCGGGTGGTCGGGGCCCAAAGAGGATTTCAAAAGAAATAGGAAAATACATTTGAATAATCATATTGCAACAATTCCTAAAAAAACATAAAGGGAGTTTTTTCTTTCCACTGTCGCCTCGTGCTCCCTCAGTTTTGGGGGACTAAAACTATTTTGAAGTGCTTTTGCAACATTTTTTAAAGATTTTATACAGGTTTTATAATCGGCTGTGTTTGATTTTGTGATTATTTAAATTAATTGGATTCTTAACGGCTTAAATTGGACAGAGTTTACTGCACTGTTTCTACTTTTTCTTTGGTTGTTATTCCTTTTTATGTCAATTACACAATTAAACGATCTTTTGAATGGACCCCTTTTAAACATTATTGCCTTTTTAAAGCACTGGGAGTTGCTATTATGTATTCAATGTTGTTTATGGATAAACAAAGATGAAGGAAACAAACTATAGAAAAGGATATTAAAGAAAAACAACTGAAAGAGGCCAGGAAAACAAAAAAAAAGTTAAAAAAATAACTCCAATTTTGAAATAAAACTGAGACAGGAATGAATTAATCTCTTTTAACCGGTATCTGATGACACGAAACCCTTTCCAGAATTAGAAATAGTTCAATCTTTTCCTTCGCTTCCTCATTATCAGCATCAAAAACAAAAGCGGCCTTTAATCAGCTTGTATCTCCTACAGCTCCCTGTATGTTCTCATCCGAAAACAAAGTGAACGTCCTCACCGATAATGGCTCCAGCCCCGTCTTCTTATCCCCCTCGCTGCCTTTAGAAATCCAGAAAAACACCCCTGGTCTCCTGCCACGGCGGCAATAAAGGAAGCACTTAAGCTGCCTACGTTTCCCACAGTCCTCGGCTGCAGGCTGGCAGAGAGGGCTGTAATTTGCCTGCCTAATTACCGGGGATATCTGAAATAGTGAGTGCGCGTCTTGTGGGGGGGTGTGGACCAAAAAGGCCTCCCTCCCGAAAGCTACAATAACGCTGTCAGGGAGTCGCCGCTCGCTGGAGAACTGAGGACTGGGAGATAAATGGAGAGCAGACAAAGGGAGGGTTGAATAATTCATGCGAGCTTTCTGCTTTCTTCCTGCTGGAGCTTTGCTCCTCATCTCTGCGTTCTCATTGGACGATGGCTCAGAGAACAAGGAGAGGACGCTCTCGAGCTCTACTTGTCGAAAAGGTGGATCTTGGAGGGAGGACTCAGTCGCGGAGATTCAGAAAACGGGGTTTATTGTAACAGAAAGACGCACTCAAAAGAGTGGATGTCAAGACAAAGTTCAAAACAAGGCTGTGGCAAAACTATGAACAAAGTATCACATCAAGATTAACTCATTGACTGCCAGCCATTTTCAGAACAGAGAGTCCCATACTGCCAGAGTTTTTTGAGCATTTTGACTGATTTTTCAAGAGCCACAGAATAGTTTGTGCTATGACTATGTAAACACCGAACACACCAAAAGAAAGAGTAGACTCTCTTCTTTCATCAGGAAAAAAAAAATGTGTTTCTACCTTATTCCGTTCTTCCTGGACTTGCATCTCACCGGCGACATGTTCTCTCATAGAACCGTTACCTTTTTCTTATTTGCCTACAGTCTATGCTCATCTCCCATCAAAAGTGGCACTGCCCCCTAGAGGGTCAATTTGTTACTACATACTCTGTCTGGAAGCCGATATTTACGGAAAAACTTTAGCAGATCGTCCCCCAAGTCACTCTCGTTGAAAAACATAAAAGACCTCTATAGACGTCTTTGGCAGCCAATGAGTTAAACGTGACTGTGAACACAAAGTATCAAATCAAGTAAACAAGGCTATGGTAAAGTATCAAATCAAGATTAACAAAACTGTGACAAAACATGGCTATGACAAACGCATGACTGTGGCGAAACATGGCTATGGCAATAAGGAAAACAAGACTATGGAAAAACATGGCTATTGTACAACAACAAGACTATGGCAATAAAGTAAACTAGGCTGTGACAAAATCAAACCTGACGTGGGGTGACGAAAACAGACAAAAGACGAAAACCCACTGGCACAGGACATGGTGACACTTCTTTTCTTTTCCAATTCAATTCAACTCAATTCAGTTATTTTATTTAATTGCTCATGACCATATACATGGTTTGGAGCACAAACAATAAATATAACAGAACAAATTAACGCATATACATTAAAACTATGACATCATCGATATAATGGGAGGACCCATTTAAAAAAGGCACCCAGCTTTCAAATTATTTTTTCTTTTCCAGACTGAAGTAATGAAACCATTTTAAACATCGATGGGCTCTTCACATAATACTGTGGAAAATACTTCTCTCTGTAATGGCATATTTCTACATTCTTACACTCAAACAAAACGTGATACTCGTCTCCAACACAGTTATCTGGACAGAGTTGACATAATCTTAACATAACAAGCATTTTTCAAATTTATATTGTTGCTTAATTTCTGCATAAATATCACAAGATGTCATTTGCCTAATCCCCAAACCCTGATTGGAGGCTGTTGGGGCTGTGGATGTCGTGGGTTTCTCTATAAAAAGGTCCCGTCTCAAGAAACTAATTAACTAAACATCTTAATTTCTTTACATACAGAACTTTATATGCGACAGACAAACCTTAATGATGATGTGTTATATAAAAAAAGAGTTTTAAAGTGAATTTCTGCTCTGAGCTCCTCCATCTCTGAGCTTAAACCCACCTATTTATTTGTCTTTCTGACAAATAAGTGCACAAACATCCATTTTAAACTGTTTGTTATAAATGGACACAGTATTTGTTTATCCCTTGAGTTAGGAGCCTTCTTTCTGTTCAGTGATTCACAGGTAAGATTTGATTGTCTTTATAGAAAAAAAAACATTCTTCTAAAAAATGGTGAGCGACAAGAAATGGACTCAAAATAAGTTAAACAAAGCAAACCAGCTTCAGAAAGTCTGGAGAACTGAGGCTGAAGAAGAAAAATAAGGTCTGGCTGCTGCTGCTGGCATGAAGTCTGTAGCAGAAAGAAAATGTGTTAGCACTTTAAACAAATACAAGTCTTATCAGAGCATTTTCCAGGGAAAAAACTGAACATTTGCTAAGTTCTACACAACAACTTTGATACAGTTTCATGCTATTTGATGGGGTTAAAGACTTTTGGAGAAAACTATTTGATTGTTTTCATTCCCACATTTTGAGTGCGCCAATACATATTTCTACATTTAAAACCGAAGCCCTTAAGTGCTCACAAAATTACTTTAACCTTTATTCTGTCCATATTACAGTCTGATCTTGTTTGAAATGGACTTTATTTCCGTCACAAGCTGTTCAAACTGTCTGTTTCTTTACCAAAATGAAACAATGAGACATAAGATGTGGAACAATGAAGGATTTCTGATCTGTTAACGTATTTCTGCTAATTTCGGCTGCATTCAGAC